ATATCAATTCATATTTGGGTACTAAGGATTCTTAAACTTTCCATTTTGGATTTCGAGAGTTTCACAGAGAAAAAAAAAACGAAATGAAATATAAATCAAACCTTTAAGTCTTTGAGTTGTGATTTTTACTATAAATATAAATATATAATCGTAATTGTTATGCATCCTGGAGTTTTTCAGTCAAACATACATACCAAATTAAATCTATTCCACATAGAAACCCCATTTTAATCCGAACCTTTTGCCGGATCTGGCGGCGTATGCATACTAAACTTTTGGAGTTGCTGATTACGAATCTGATGTCAGATTTTCAAAATGCAAAATGGCGGATCCAATATGGCGATCAACTTAAAAAAAAAAATTGATTGGATTTGTTTGAAGCTCGGAACTACCATTTTGAATTTTGAAAATCTGACATCAGATTCGTAATCAGCAATCCCATAAATCCACTGGTAACGAGTTTCAACCCTTGACAATGCTTAAAACGTTCAGTATCAACGTTTTAATTTAGGCAATTTTTTAAGAATCTGATTGCCATATTGAATCCGCCATTTCGTATTAAAAAAACTGACTTCAGGTTCCTAACTAGGAACCCCAGAAACCCCCTGTTTGGTAACAAGTTTCAACCCATGATAATACGTAAGTCGTTCAGTATCAACCTTTTAATTTTGGTAGTCCCTTTTCAAAAGCATATTTTCGGGCACTGGGCCCATTCTATCTACAGGTATGTAATTAAGGGAATGTCCCCTAATTTTAATATGTCACGAAAATAAAAAAAAAAATTTAGAAGACCGGCGTTTTTATAAAAACCGACTAGCGCGGAAACAACAACCTCTAAAAAGAGTTCCCACGACAGTCGGGTCTACGTAACCGGAACGACCCAGATTTATAACTGGCCAAGGACTGTCACTCCAGCAACACTCCCCAAAATCCTTTTGGGGAACTTGTACGCTGCTACAGCAACAACAACCTCTAAAAACCTTTTTTTTTCAAAATAAAAATTACGTTTCTCATTTTTTATCAGAAATAACAATAATTTGAAGTAGCGTTTATGAATTTCCTAAACAAAAAAATTTGAACCACTCTAATGTACATGCATGCAAATGTACGAGCGGACAGGACGAGGTTCGTTGCGATGAGTTGTGTGAGGTACAAATGCTTGTATCAAAAGTAACGAGTAAAGTAACGATATGAAAGTAACGGGTGTTGATTGGATTAGTAACGAACACATACGGCCGTCCAAATATTTGTTACTTTTACAGCCCTACATTAAATACAAAGCAGTCGCAACTCAAAACTTATGAAATTTTAGGAGAACTAAAAAGCTGTAGAACAAGAAGAAGCAACGACATTAGCGCCAATAAAGAAATATTACGGAAAAGCGATTTTCAAAAGTTTAGGTCTTCGATTATTTTGTATTTATAGTGTGATATGTACATACATACATACATATGTATGTTCAGCACTCCAACACGCCGCGATTGAACAGCCACGGCAGGATAACCTCAGCGTGCCTTCGAAATCTGGCGCTGGTGTACATTTGCTTCTTAAATTCATTCCCGGCTTCGTTTTCCCCGACTAGGGCTGCGACGTCGGCTTTGTCAGTGGGATCCAACAATACGGCGCCCATAACTCCAGTGACTGTCGTATAAGCTATAAAGATGCGCGTTGAAGCAAAGTCTTGTTAGGTTTATTTTACAATTACTTACCCCAAATGTTGGTTCTGTGTAAAAGTATGTGTAGATCTTTCAGTTTTGGTATTTGC